TTTTTTTTTTGTTTACAGATATGTGATGCAGTTGCAGTTGCAAAGATACTAAACGCCACTCTCGTCGTTCCGTATCTCGAAGTGAATCCTGTTTGGCAGGATTCCAGGTAATGTTTGTTTCTCAAGAAAGTTTGCTGTCTTTTGTAGTTCCGGTCCAGAGAGAATTCCTGATGTTCTAAGCTGAAATTCCATCTTCTTTTTCTTTTTCATGGGTACAGTTCGTTTGTGGAAATCTTTGACGTGGATCACTTTATTGATGTATTAAAGGATGATGTAAGGATAATCAAAGAACTGCCTGAAAAATTCTCATGGAGTACGAGAGAGTACTATGCCACAGCAATCCGTGAAACCCGTGTGAAGACTGCACCTGTCCATGCTTCTGCCAATTGGTATCTCGAGAATGTTTTGCCTGTTCTTGAAAGGTATGCCCTTTAAGCCGAACAGATTTTCAATGAAGAATGCATGCAAGTTTCTGAATCTCAAAACCTCGAATATAATCAATATGTATGGTTTTTGGTATCTGATGTAGTTTTGGGATTGCTGCTATTGCCCCATTCTCACACCGTCTATCCTTCGATCATTTACCTCCGGAGATCCAACGGCTGAGATGCAAAGTTAATTTCCGGGCACTGAGGTTTGTCCCCCATGTTAGAGAACTTGGCGATGCTCTTGTAAGTCGTCTTAGAAATCCGTCATGGAGAAACAAAGAACAGAATGTGGATCACTTGACGGATATAACCAACTCTCACAGCAGACAAGAACCTGGGAAATTCGTTGTTCTTCACCTCCGGTTCGACAAGGTTGTCATGCTCATCTTCTGTTCCACATTCCTTTCTTATCGTTGTGAAATCTCATTATAGATTCTTGATTTCCTGAGATGGGGTTGAGAGAAGGTTTTTGTTTGATCTGTCGTCAGATAAAACCGAGTATTTGTATGTTTTCAGGATATGGCTGCTCATTCTGCCTGCGATTTCGGTGGGGGAAAGGCTGAGAAACTGGCGTTAGCCAAATACAGACAAATGATATGGCAAGGAAGGGTACTCAACTCGCAATT